AATTAATTAATGACCAATTAATTATTTGTAGCCTACCGTTTAAACTACCTGACCTGCATGGTCTTTGTTTTACCCATAAACAAATCATACAGTAAATGAATAAAGGCAAGATACACACATAATTACCACCTGTCAATCACTTTTTTTCTGCGGCACTCGTGAATAGGCAGTGATCTGTGTCGTTATAATGGCGTCGGTAAAAAAGACGCACAACCAACAGGAACCAGCCAACAGTATCTGAGGTGTTCGCTAAAATGACAAAGTACAAGTGAGTGAAAGATTGAAGCAGTCCTCTGACTGCCTGGACCTGCTGTCTCGAGCGCATGGCTGTGTGTGCGCGTCTGTGTCTGTGTGGTCACGTGATGTGCATTTCCAGAGGTAGAGAGGAAGGAGGGCTGCTCAGAAATGCTACACGCCACTGTGGATGTCAAATCGTTGTCGTTCTAAAATGCCATTTAAAAACAAAGACAGTGTAAACAGGGCCTGAGTGTGTACTTTTCGCAAGCGGATTTGCAACGGGGGCGGGCGGAGGATCGCGGTGTTGTGATCGCGGTGTTGTGATCGCGGTGCCGGTGTTGTCTATCGGACGAACCGTACGTAATACGTACATAGCAGAGCTTGCAAAACTGTGTTTTTTTTGTCGACAACACGAACGTTGTCAACATAACTCACTGGAAATCCAAAATGCTTACACACCGGCGACTTCATTGAAAGAGGAGAGGGTTTAAGCTCTGTCGACGGGTCTCCTGCTTCTGCAGTTTAACAAGCACTTCAACAAGCCTGTTTTTTTACCGCTTGGCCAGCCAAGCTGACGTGACATGGGGGCGTGGCAGCATCGACGATTCTATTTTTGCATTCGATAATCGAAATTGAGCATAAATTCTGATCAATTTCAATTTAAAATCGAAATCGTGACACCCCTACTTGTGAATTCTAAATGCATGGCGCTGCGCGTAGCCGAGCGGCGCTTTTGATGCATGACCTGCTTTACGTTCTTGTTGCAGCACTGAAATTAGGCACCGAAATTCATATGCTGATTTGATCTAGTGCATACCAGTTCCCGAGTTTTGGCACCCAACCCTACCCCTACTTCACCTTCATGATTAAGCCCTGCAACCCCCCCAGATCTTCAATTTCATCCGCGATAACCCCCTACCCCTCACTTTCATCCGTGATCACCCCCACCCACCCCCTGCCACCACATACACACACAGCCCACACCATCTCCATTTTCATCCGTGACAAATCGCTTGACAGAGGGCCCGTGGTGGTCAGCGGCACCCCTGCCAGGAGTTGGTGGCAAATTCCCGAACACTTAATAATCGATTAACTGAATTAAAAACTTGTCTTAAAACAAAACTTGACACACAGACATGCATTTACAGACACACTAATAATCCCACACACTCACAAACATACTCGCAAACACACTCACAATCACACACACACACACACACAAAAACACTCACAAGTGCATGCACGCAAACACACACTCACACTCAGTCACAAGCATACACACAAGCACACAAACACTGACATGCTCACAAACACACACACACACACATACATACTCAACAGGAGAACATACTCATAAACACACACAAAAACACGCATACTCAAACACACACACTCTCTCACTCATAGACAACTCACAAACACTCTCTCTCTCACACACACACACACACACACACACACTGACACTTTGACAGAAGTTATCACAGTAAAACTGAGATAATTAACACTTTCTCACCCCAAAGATAGAGCAACATCCAGAAGAGCTGATCCTGACACACCCTCACACACACACACACACACACTCTCTCTCACATGTGTAATGTTACATAACGGCAAATATGAATATGTGTTTCTGTAAGTTGAGTCT